TCCATTTCTGAAACTGAAATTCATGGGAAGCAACTACAAATGTTCATTCACTGCCAGTAACTAAAAGCACACTCTCCTACAGCAGGACACCAATTAAACCGATTTAATGACCCTTGCATCACACTAGCAATGTGTCTCCTAACGTGTATTTAATTGCTAGACTAGGTCTATGAGTTGTGCCATATGCAGAGGTTATTTCTGCTAGTTGGTTAGAAAGAGGGCTGGAATTAGGATGTGGAATTGGCTCCAGAGGCATAACTGATGAGCAGACTGTGAGAATCAGGGAAGGAAACCTATAACAGGCAGAAACGAACATGAATTTTCACAGTCCTAAGGCCATTTGTGTTTGGCAGGAACCAGCTTACTAGTAAAGACTTTCATTTCACATAAAAATGTTTTGTTTAGGGATTACTGCACTTTCCCCACTAGGAAGGGAATAAAGCCTCTTGCTTGTGGGGAACTATCTGCTTCTAAACAAATACTTATGTACTGGCCTGTGTTTGGAAAACAAAAGAGCAATTTTCATAAGCAGTTATTTCCAAGTCAATGTCTAACTGCAGTCTGTACAGTGCCAGTGCAGACTGCAGCCCCACTGACACAGGTCCAATTTCTTGCATTCACCAACATTTTAAAAAATTGTGCATGTGGTCCTTCTCACCTTGAGGATATAACATTAGTACCGTCCTTGTCATTGTCTTACTTTGCTTCACCAATCCCAGTGATTAAATGCCCAGGAACATACCAGTTCTACATTCTGGATTATCTGGCTCCAGTAAATAATAGTTAGCATTTGCCAGCTATCATACACTGTCACTTACATACCCTTTTCTCAGCTGATTGAAATGGTGACTAGAGCAGTAATATTTTGTTCTATAATGTACTGCAGTCTTCTTTAGAGGAATTCATACCTGTGACAGAATGTAATAGGGATTCTGTTTTGCTAAATACACATTTATGTGCTTCTCTCTTGTGCATACACACAAACACAGGCAGGTAGGCTATGTAACTTTAAACTCAATGAACCATGGGACTATATATACCCGTTATAGTAGTTATGAAAATCCAAGCCACATACATCAATCAGTCACATAAATATTAATATTTGTTTCAGTGATATTTCAAATATTTTTTTCACCCTAAGCAATCTTAACTCTCATGTCATCTGGCAGTAAGTGTGATGAACAGTAGATGGAAAGAGGTAAAATAAAAAGAGAAATCAAATTTATAAGAGAAAGATCCCTTCTAGGTAAAAAAATGTAGAACAAATCCTTATTTTTCTTATCCAGAGCCATATTCACTATGCTAATTTTACAGAACAAATAGTCATAATCCACTTTGTATCATTACAAATGTATGATTTGTAAAGGAGCTGAGGGACTTTAAATTTAAAATATAAGCCACACAAGCACAGAGAAGCAAACACCCCAAGGACAAGCAAAATGGATTCCCTGGAGGGGACAATTTTACAGAGGTGGAGCTGTACTGGAAATACCAAGGACATTTCAAATAGTAGCAAGCATGAATGATTGACTAATTGCACTGTTAGTTCCTTAAAGCAGATTTCACAATATGTACAGGTATATACAGAGGCAGTGAGGTATTTATTGATTTTTGTTTTTAAACTGACATACAATTTTCAATTGGTTGGGGTTTTTTTTGTTTTGTTTTGTTTTGTTTTTTTTACTCCACATAAAAGGCCTCAGCAGTTTTCAGTTGTAGCAGCTGTACCTCCCCTTTCCAAGACTGCAAGAAATGCTGATGTTCCAGTTTTCATACTATGGGGGCTGGGGTGTCAGATGTTTCAGATCAGATACTGGGTTTTCTCATTCTGTGAGTCTGAGAAATTTCAAATACTGGTTCTGTTCTCATACACATAGCTCACAATTCTTCATTAACATCATATCTAACTATAAGATCAAGATCAAGTTAATACATGAAGGTTTTTGCCACTTTTCAACTTGTCCTGGATTCACTCTGAATTTTTATAACTGACTCCAGTATCAGAACATCCAGCTGTTAACTCATGTGAGAGCTACTGTTTGTCAAACATGTTTTACGGTTTAAAATATGGCTGCATTTTCTTTTGAACCTATTTTTCTTCTTCTTTCAAATGTACCCCATCTGTTCTGCTTGTATTTGTTCTGTGGTCTTTGCCAAAGGGCTGCAGATAGGAACACAAGAGATTGGAGAAGGGCGGGGATGACATTTGAAAGGAGTACTAATCATGGCTATGCAATCTTACGTTTGTTTTTGCTTTTAATTCTGCGAGTTATTATTTTACTGAATTAGCTAAGGAAGCATAAAGAAGAGGATTATTTAATGTCTCACACAAACATATGCATAAGCCTACACACACATTTCAAAGCATCTTCACTTGTTCTAAAGCCTTTGACTTTCTTTGACTCGTGCACAGAAAAAAATGTCAATATGAAAAATGGCAAACTCCTCAAACATCAGATCTTTGTATTAGTTCCAACACTGATGACAGCAGCTAGTCTTTCTCCCAGTAAGAGACGGTGACCTGGCACTACTACAGAAGCGTGACCTGGATTCCATTGCGTTTCGTGTACCATCAACAGAACTGTCAGCTCAGCTGTGACTACAAAAATCTTTATTATTATTGGTGCATGAGAACAGGAAAAATGTCAGTGAATAAACAGAACCTAGGTAGATCTTGCACTACCAGACTTCTGACTAATAGTAACACATAATTAGAGATTAAACACAGTGATCTGGAGGTTCATGAGAGAAAGTAAGAGTGGACCCCTAATGTATACATTTTTTTCTTTTCTCCACAGCAACTTCTAATATCGTGGCCACTTTCCAAGAGCTCAACTTGCCAAACAGGTTGCATCAAACCTGAAGACCATGCTGCTGTTCAGCACAATGAAAAGTTACCCCCAAGCAAGGTAATCACATAGGCACTCTATAAACACTGTGAAATGAACTTCACCTCAGAAGTTTACGAATGGAACAAAAGGTTGGAGGAAAAAAGTAGATGTCCAATAGAAACAATGGCAGAGATCAGAACAGAATTTATGTCTGTCTGACTTCTGGACCATTGCTACACCTAAATCACACCGGTCCAAACTCAAATGTGAAAAAGTAAACAGAAAAAGTACCCTTCACAAGGAGACATGCAGACATACAAGGTCAGTGTTCTATAAATTCCCAGCTTCAGAAGCAGAACTGCAGGACCAGCGATTTATAGGCAACTCCTGCTGATGTTTCTAATTGCTGTAGTAGAGATTATGTGCCTTCTTCACAGCAGTAGCATATAAAATCTCTTCTCCATTTCATCTGCTAAAGCTCAGCTAGCATGCCTGTTCCTGGGGCTCATTAGTGTGTGCTACAGACGTTGCTGGAAAACTTTGGAAAAAAACCCCACCCATTTATGTGCCAGAGCCCTGGTCTCATTTGTTTTGAACAGATAGAACTTGTGAACCTCTTTCAAGCTGTACCTCTCACTGCATCACCTTCCTGGACTTTTGGGATGGCTTGTTCATTTAAACAATTCCTCCACATGTATTTGGCACTTACAGGTATGGAAAAAATAACCTTTTGGTTTTGGCATTCACCTACCTGTATCTCTGGCAGAGGTTGTGCTAGAGACATGGCCAGCAATATTTATCTTAATGTCCAAGTAAGGAAAACATACTCAATGGATGCTTCCTTACTATTTTAAAATAAGTTACACGGTATTTGAACAGTCAGCGAGTATGCTGCAAACATTTATCAGCTAACACTGTCACTTCCCACAGTCCACCGGCTCCTTAAAGGTATTTTTTGGTCAGTTACCCTAACTCTCACCCTCCAATGAAAAACTACCAAACTTCATAGGAAGACAATTCACTTTTCTTTTCCAGAGCATTATAAATTCTTGACAATTCTTAAAGTGAAGGTCAGGACTGAGGAAATTGTTGGAGATAAAACAGTATTACAGATGTCTGCCTTCTGTCCATCTGTGATACACATACATTCATGCAAAACACATTTGCTCACTTCATAGGAACAGGAAAGGCAGGGAGGTAAATGATTTCCAGCAATCAGGTTCGTATCATGGCATGGTTTTGCACTAAAAGATCAGGATATGCTTTCCTTCCTGTTGCTTGCACTGCTATCAGTCAGAGATCCCACAAAATAAATGTAAACTGCCTCTTCCCCCTAATTCACATTAGGCCCTCAACTGGAGTGAAGTATCCTGCCTCCATTTTGGAGGTGTGTTACGGATGTCACTTAGGGCACACGCTGCGGACAACCACTGTCTAACTGTCTCTTGAATTGGATTTTCACTACCATCATATTAATTCTGATCTGTGTTAAAAAGGCTATGTGGCATTCATTAACCACTGGTTCTGTTACTCTGAGCGCACACTGAATATGTGGACTACCACTATCAATGCTTATAGAAGGAGAGCTGAAATTGCACAAAAAATTAATCTTACAAAATACTCAAGTCGTACACAGCTGTGTGAACAGGTCTGGGTTCTTCCTTGGCCCAGAGAATTCTCATTAGCTTTGCAAAACTGTATAAATATTGGAATGCAAATTGGATCTGGGCCCTCGAAATCACGTAGGTTTGTTATTACAGTCACAGAGACTTATTTTAAGACCAAAGGCCCAAAATTATAAAGGGATACATAAAAGCAGACTTCCCTTCCAGTCAGTTTTATAGGTAACGGAACATATTGAAACTGGTGATAAGAGAAATTCTGCCTTTGTGGAAGATATTTTTGACTAAGCCAAACCATTAGCAATACTCTTCCTAACCAGCTTTTCACAAATGGAAATTCTCCAGAAACTCTTTGAAATCAGACATCAAAGTCAGAAAAAAAAAGAAGACATTTTAGAGTGATAATAGGAAACATACAGAAAAACCTACACAGCCATGTCATTCTATCTATTGCTGCCACATGTTTTACAGCACCGTGGGTCAGCCAGTATAGCAGATCATGTCCTGTTGAGGCTTCAGGGAGTAGGGGACGGCTGGGGGATTTTACCTGTCAAAAGAAGGCTTCTCTCCACAGTCAAACGCATCCTGTAACTCCTTCACAAGGTTGGCCTGCCCAGGCAGTCGAAAAAGGCCTTCTTCATTCAGCCCCCGCTGTCGGATAAAATCCACACACTGTTCCACCAACATAGGAGCCAGGCGGTTCCCATATCGCTTTTCATATCGGACAGTATCTTCCAGCTTCTGGCCAAAAATACCTGCATGAAAAAGAGAGATCTGACTTGGCTGAGATTTGTAAAAAACATTTGAGGAGCCCTTGTCCTCTATTACAACCCACTCGATTTACAGGTCATTTAAATGCACGGACAATTAACCTACTCCTTTCTTAAGATAAAATGCACAATTTCACCTCTGATACTCTCGTGAAAATACAATCCTGACATATTTTACAATAATGCTTAGAAACCTTATTTAAAATAAAATATTGTAAATGGTTTTTCAGACCATAAACAGAAACCAGAAATAATACAAATAGGATTTTCCATCGCAAAACTTCTGATTCAAAAGTAATACACCTCTCCAACTTCTTTGGTTCATGCTTAACTATTGATGTATCAGTTTCAATGGCATCTAAACGTTACCTTTACACATGGAGGGCAAAAGATTTATAAATATAATGCACGATTTTGTTCCCACTAAACCAAGTTATTAATTAGGTTTTTCCACATAAACAAAGACCATTCCTATAATGTATTACCAATTGCATTATCACTGCCTGCTTTAGCAACAATAAGTTTTGTGTATGAAAAAAGAATCAGACATGAAAGGTGAAATATGCCAGATGAACTGGAGGAAACCTGCATTCGTTCTTAACCTCAGGAGTATTTTTGACAGAATTAACCTCAACCCTGATCTGAGAATATCATTGCTACCACTGGAAAGACAGCTACACTTCATAATCTATTTTGCTTCTCCCCTTCAAACTGCAGAGCTAGCCATCACAGACAGCATCACAATAATGTTTAAGCATGTGTCAGCTGTGATGGAAGCTCTCTCTTGAGATAACCATTTGTTGAACACTATTGGGGCTGAAGCAAGGCAATTCAATTTCTACGTATAGCAAGACAATGAACAGTTCTAAGGCAGTCATGATCAGAAACTAAAGACCAAATAACAGGCTCCTTTTCCAATTATGTACACTATATTTTGGAGGAAAAAAAAAAAAAAAAAGGCAGTAGGTCAACTTATGCCCTTCACTGAGTACACAGTTCCTTCTGGTTTAAAAATATTCAGCAAGGACAACAGAGCTGTTTTGGTTTGCTTCTTCTAAAGAAAGCACAAAGTTGTGCTAGTCAGCTTTTGCTTTTGGCCCAAAAACTTCATTCAACCATCAATTACAAGAACAAGTAATCACAAGCCAAGGTAGTGTTCAGATTGGAACATCCTTCAGGGCAACTTTCAATGTGTACATTTTTCCTCTAACAAAAGATAATTCACACCTCAGTTGTAAGGGGGCAAGTTGCTTTGCAAATGCTCCAGGATGTTATGGCAAGTGGGTAGCAAGCTGTCAGTCACCCATACTGAAGGTCTGGGGTTTGTATTTGAGTGCAATTATTTTTCCTGTAGCACAGGAAATAACTGGAGAAAGTAACTGATGTTCAGCTAAGACAGCCGGAAAGCATTCCGAGATGCAGAGCAGAATATTTTGTGATTTGCATGGTACTCACAATTGTGGATGGCAAAACCAGCAGCGGGTAAGGCGACTGAACATCACACGGTCACTCTTCATTAGCTCTTTTTCATGTACAGAACCCAAACCCCAACAATTAGCAATTAAAGAAGGAGGTTTTTTTAAATTTCAGAGTGAGTCAAGTTTAGCAGAATACTGACTGATGTGGAATATTTGGTGTCCAAAAAGTTCAGCCTCTTCATGCTGGCAGAAGAGTTAAATAATATTTTCTTAATGCTTACATACCTTCCTAACCTCCTGCAAACTGCCTATAGGGGTGGCAGGAGTATTAAATGAACATGGATTTCCTGTATTTGTCTGAGTTAAGGGTTGCTGCTGGCCAAAAGAGAGGAAATCTTCAAGTCCCTCCATTTTCTAGACTCTCCTTCTGAAAGTAGAGGAATTAAGGAGGAAGGTCCACTGAAAGTCAGTTAAGGAATCTGTGTGATTATGGGAGTTTGGAGATTTCAAATCCTCCTTAATATACAAGAAGGCTGCTGTTCAGTGTCCCCCAAATCATCCCTCCTCCTGGTTGAACAAGTCCCACTTCCTCTGCCCCTCCTCACATGGCATGTGTTCTAGCTCCCTAGCATCTTGGTGGCCCTTTGCTCAACTCTCTCCAGTTTTATCAGTTTTATCCCCTACACACACACATTTATTTTTTTTTTTTTCTTTTTAATGGACACGGTATCTGTAATATGGTGTAAAAAATGCTGAGCAGAGGGGGTTAATCACTTCCCTCCCTCTGCTGGCTCTGCTCCTGCTGATACTGCCCACACTGCTTCCTTAGCCAAACCTTATTTGCTGCCAGGTCCACTGCTGGCTCTTGCCCATCTTACTGTCCCCCAGGGCACCCAGGTCCTCTCTGCAGAGCTGGTTCCATGGAGTTGTACCTTCTTAGGTGCAGGACTTGGCCGTTCTACTCCAGTTTGTCCTATGGACGTACAGTCTGAGCTTGCCTTCAAGAGCCCATGAGATTTCTTGGTTTGAAATGCAAGAGTTTTTGCCTCTTTTCAAACAAAATTAATCAGTGTAAGTTAGGATATTCCAGTTATATGTTGAACGATTACAACTCATGCCCACTGACAGTACAGTTAGTATGATAAAGCTTTGTCCTGTTGGCTGTACTTTCTTCTCTCCATGCTAACATTCTTTAATCAGTAATGCACATACTGCAGCCTACATTTCCAGAGGAAAGAGTAAGTTCTCAAACCTTAGAGACTGCTTTGAAACTCCTATTAGTAATGACACTGCAGTCAAAACATATCACTTTCTGTTAATAAATCTTTTGAGATGCTGTCTGTTTTTTCCCCTTCATTATAGAATTGGCTTCCAAAGCATGTCTAATAGGTAACAAATAAAATCAGAATAAGGGGGTTTTGTGCAGTGGGAGCAGAAATCATTCCTATATTATTATAAATTGCTGATGCACCACAACACAAAATATATTGAAACCATGCAGCAACTATAAAGCACTAAGGTGTCTGTAACTAGTGTCAAACAGTATTTTTTTTAAAGACAAATAGTAACAAGTGATTCAAATACAAAAGGTGACTGACATTAAATGGATATAGCAAAGTTGGTTCTGTATTGTAGCAGCAAATCACAGGTACTGGATGAAGAAAACCTTAAAAAAACTGAGAAAAAATAAAACCTGATGTGATAGAGAGGTAACCAGTGCCAAGGAAAAATAAAAATAAAAAATTAATCCAAATCAGAGCCTAAAATTTCCCGGTTCTGGTCCCTGAAGTGTAAACATTGAATTGTTTCTACTACCAACTGCAGTAAGGTATATTGTAAATAAAGGGACTTCTACTGAGACACTTTAAATACAGATAGACTAGGAATGACTGAAAGAGAGACGGAATAACTACAGCAGTTGTCTCATACTTGACTGATTGGATTGAGATCATGCACAGTCCTCAGAACACAGCTGCATTGAGTCTGGCCACACATATACTTCATGGCCAGAGGGGTAGGTTCGTGCCCCATCATCTTCACACGTCAGATAAAGCTTCAGGGACTTGTCTCCCCATCTACATGAATGGTGATAATGCCATATCTACCTCCCAGGCATGAGGCTCTCCACATCCAGCTTTGGGAAGCCATAGCTAGCATGGTCATTCTGACAACCATGTTATAACCTAAAGTTAAGACCTAAGTGTCATGGAAAATCACCACATCACACCTTGAAGTGCTTTTGAGGTCACCATTTATTACACGCTACATTCTCCAATTTGTTCGGGTTTGGAATTAATCTCAGGCAGGCTTGGTTCGGTTTCAAAGTCCAGGCTGAACTTCTCCAAAGGAAGCATTTCCTTCACCTAACATGCAGAACACTGCACCAGGCAGCGCTTGGCTGTGGAAGGAATCAGTCCTGATAAGCCTGCATAAATACTGACTTGAAGTTACAGACTCGCTGATGCCTTATGGAAAAAGTACTCTGTTGCCAGGGGCAGAAGTGGCAGAAACATGACAACTCTGCTTCCTCATCACGTTGTCATAACTTTTACCTTGTTCATCACCTTTCTGGTGTCTGTTGGGTTTTTCACTGTTTTGGAATAAAAGTCACGATCATTGCCCTGTAAGGTGCACCTTCTTCCATTGTCCCTTTCTAATGCTGTTACCCACTCTTACATCACAACTAACTACTACAGAGATGCTGCAGATTAAGAGTTTATGAAGACTAAGACGTTGACCGTTATGAAGCAAATGCAATGCTGACAAGAATTGTGGTTGCAAACATACAGTTACCTTAGTAATTGGCAGAGACAGACAACGGAGAACACTCATCAGTTATACCTGGTAACTACAAGCACCTCCTTTAGAGAAGCAAGGAAAAGATAGTCCAAGTTATGGAGACTACAACATAGCCAAAACCACTGAGATAACTACACACACTGTTTTCTAAAAGTAAATTTCTACTCCAGTAACTAAACAAGAACACCTTTGTGGAGAAGAAAATAAAAGAGAGCCCTCATAACTCATGTTGTAATCCAAACCCAAGTTCTCCTCCTAAATCTTAATGTCTCCAAAATCCAGAAATGCATGGATGCACAAGTGCTGACCTGTGGTTTGGTTTATCCTTGGGATAGGGTGCCAGAGGGGAAACAAATAAAACCGACAAGAAACACTGAGCTTGGCAGCAGCTTGGCTTCCCCACAGCTGGAGGAAGGCAGGGAAATGTATAGGATTCCAGTTCTGACCAGTCATTAGATTTAATCAACAGAACTGCTTTTTCAGAGAGGCCCTTGTAGGTCTTTAAAGCTATATCCAATTAAGCCAAGATCACGCATAACATCAAAGAGGAAAATCACATGCTAGTAAAGGGCATGCCGAGCAGTTATTCATTAACTAGGACATTCCCGTGGCAGAAGTTTTATAAACATATTGAGAAACTGGATTTCCAAGCCTAACAGACACCCACAAAGCTTATGAAAGACACTACAGTGCTATATACAAATTCTACATATGTCTACTCAAGAGTTGTGAAAGCACTGTGGTATTTTCAACGGTACATATTCACAG